CCCCAAAACCCCAAAACCCCAAAACCCCAAAACCCCTAGAAAGGTATATTTGTTGGGTCGTTCATTAATTTATAAATAATTTAATATGAAAACTCTAGTAATTGCATCGCTGATCTCAGCTGCATGTTTGCTCTACATTGCTTTTAGTCCTACTGAAGTCAACTATGATGACGCTTTTGAACAGTTTATCTCTACATATGGTAGAAGCTACTCCAGTCAGACTGAACTTCAGTACAGAAAAATGATTTTTGAAGAGAATATGCGTCAAGCTGAAAAACTTCAAAAGCTAAACCCTGATGCTGAGTTTGGAGCCACTCCTTTTGCTGATCTTTCTGATGAAGAGATGAAGCTCAGAATGGGATATGTGGAAATCGATAATGACCAATCAGATTTGGATTTATTCACCGAAACTTCTGATTCACTCAATTCTATTGACTACAGAGGGAATATGAAGTCTATTCAAGATCAAGGAAGATGTGGATCATGCTGGGCTTTCTCAGCAACTGCTACTTTTGAAGGAAGATATAGCTTGTTTAGAAAAGCAAATTCCAAGTTATCAGAGCAGCAAGCTCTAGATTGTTCTGGGCCAAATCATAGTTGTAACGGAGGTCACTTCACAGCTGCCTGGGTCTACATGAGAACCCACAAATTTTGTACCCTGAGCTCCTACAAATATACAGGAATCAAAGGCCAATGTAAGACTAAGTGCTCTCCTACAATCTCCGATAAGGGATATACCAAAGTTAAGAATAACGAGTCGTCAATGCATAAGGCTCTGCAACAAGGACCTATCTCAATTGCGGTTGACGCAACTACCTGGAAAACTTATAGAGGAGGAGTAATGACTGCTTCCCAGTGAGGTAAAAAACCAAATCATGCTGTTGTCCTAGTCGGATATGAACCTCAAGAGAACGCCTGGATAATTAGGAACTCATGGGGATCAAGATTCGGAGAGAACGGACATATCAGGCTTAAGTATGGCACAAACACCTGCGCAATCACCCATGACTCAGCATTTCCAAAAATATAATTTTGATTCATTGATATTTCATCAATCTATATTTTATTCTAGGGGTTTTGGGGTTTTGGGGTTTTGGGGGTTTTGGGG